TATTTTTCGTGGAGTTATTTTAACTCCAAAAAGGAGTTTAAAGAACTCTTTTTCAGGAGTAAAAGTGACCCCAGATATTGAGGAGTTAAAATAACCCCAAAAAAGGAGTTATCCTGTACCTAAAATTTTTACTCCACTTTCAGAGTTAAATTAACTCCAAAAAGAGTAAAAACAACCCATGTAAGGAGTACAAGTAACCCCATTTCGGAGTAATTTTGACTCCAGACTGGGAGTAAAAAGAACTCTTTTTCAGGAGTAAAAATGACCCCAAATTCGGAGTTAAATTAGGAGTTAAAATAACCCCAAAAAAGGGGTTATCCTGTACCTAAAATTTTTACTCCATTTTTGGAGTTATAATAACTCCCTAAAAATTACGGTGTAACCACTACTGAAAGCAAAAACTAGCGGGTGGCAATATGCAAACGTGCGAATCAGCCACCGAAGCAAATGTGCATGATCGGTACTTCAGACCTCCTTTGAAGTTTTGAAAAAAAGTACGGCTCACAAGACTTGTAATTTCATTTTCAGAGAAAATCATAGGTCCCTTCATTACGTTTAATGGAAACCTTACCTGGTACATGGCCAGTATAGTGCGGGACTTGTCCTGAATCTTTCAAATAAATTGGCTTGGTGTCGACGATTTTGATCACGGGACGTTCCACCACAACGGGTAGGTCCTTTACTCGTTTCAGACGGTCGCTTTCATCTGTAAACTCGCAGAGCGCCTTATTCGTCAATAGCGGGTATCCCATCCCCATTTGACCTCGGGCACGCGGGACAAATCCCGTATAACCTGACATAAGGAACTTTTTCGGGTCGTCGTTGCTCATGACATATGGAGAGAGCGAGTGCTGCAGAACGTTTGGAGAGTAGTAAGCTTTAGGTTTTATGGTTATTGACTGCAGTGGGGTCCTGTATTTGGTAGTGATGAGTGTGTCTTTCGATAAGAGCTCTGGTGGGACTTCCTTGCCTTTCTGAAGGTCAGCAATTGTTCTGAGGTCCCGAATTTTACGGTGGTGTTTAAGCTGGTCGCTTTGGAAATCTGCAATGGCGCTCAGGCAGGTATCCGCGTAGGGTTTTCCAAAGTAATGCTCTCCTTTAGGAATATAACCTATAGAATGTAATAACGCTCAATGTCATGAAGAAGTCTATGAGAGTGCCTTGGGCGGGATGCATAAAGCAACTAAAGATCAAAAGTGTGAGTTTTCTGTAACCGTTTTTGCCTCTTCTCCCTTTGAATGATTTTATCGTGATCTCTTCGTTATATAAACTTTTTGCTTTCCTAATATGCTCCTTATTCTGCTTCAGTTGCCGAGTTATCTGCGATACCGTGCAAGTAATCCAAACAAAGAGAATGGTTTCAGAAAGAATCGCAGTTAATCCTATATGTGTTTCTTTCCGTGAGCGGTCTCTGAAAAACCTCTATAACCTCCTTCCTCTATACCTTGAATTTTAATATATCCAAAGAACCCTGTTGCACGCGGATCTACCACCGGAAGCTTATTTTTTCTTATTTTGTCCGTTTGTTTTGCGTGACACCTTCCTCGCGGCTGGTAATTTAAACCCGCGCTCGCGTGCCTCGCTGGGTCTACTACATACAATGTATAGCACTCGTGAATCTACCTTTTCTCATTAACGATTGAGGCAAAAACCTCGGTTTCTAAAAGAACGCTTGCTACACATGTCAGAAGCGTGGCATCTCGGCATACTACTCGATCAAGCCCACAACGAATGGTCTTACGAAAAATATATGCAAAAACGGGTAGGAAACTGATTGAATGAGCCAATGTTTGATGACAATGCATACATTACGGAGACATAAATTAAATTCAAGAAGTCGCTTCCTTGGTTACAAGTGTAAACTATGCTCTGACTCGGCCGCCGACAGTCACACAACAGAACAGAAACTTTCGTTTGTTGACTTTAAATCTCTTTTTTGAGAGATCTGCGATCTTAATTTTCACAGGAATAAACCGAAATGGTTGTATTTCGCCAGTAAATTTGTCGGTTCCTTTGATGTTGTTTTAAATTGCGGCAAGGGAAGTTAACACAAAGGTTTTCACACGTTTGTCTAAATTTTCGCTATACCCTCAATTTTCGTTTTGCACATAATGGGTACTAGCAGACTAATTACTCTATCTTGGTAGCCAGATAAAAAATCGTAGAAGCAAAATGTACAGATGAAGATGGCCTGGATATGTTTAAGCGTTATTTCCCACCAATACGTTGACAGTTCCCGCGAAAATGCCTTCGGTAATCAGTGTTTTGTGTACCCAGCTTATTAATAAGGATTAACCAATTCAGTGCTTAAACCCTGGAACCAACTTGAACAATTACAGGAAAGAAACAAACAAAATTTATCCGCTTACCTGTGTAGTTGGGTACCATCTCATCGCAGAGCTTTTGGTCGCCAAGATTTAAGCATCGAGCCGTGATTAACGCTCGCCTGCCGTCTTTCGGTGGCCGAGGCTGTGGAACAATGTCAGACAGAACAGGCCTACCGGAGCTAGCAACCGATGATGTTGTCAAAAGCTGCGAGGTCGTTCTACCGAAAGTTTCACCGATTTGGTACTTAAATTGAGGACAGTAGCCACAGTAGCTGTGAAGGTAAATTGATCGTAAGAGTCCATTGCTGTTGTAGCTACAGCTGAGGAATTATTGATGTACATTTGTTTGCGAGTAATAAACAGGAAATTTGCTCGCGCGCCGGCATGTTAAGGTGGTTCTTAAAGAAAATTCACTTACCCAGGTGTATGGTATGGATCTGGAGTCATGAGAGTGGATTTTCGCGTCCCCCTCATCATTTTAGCGATATTTTTTCAATCGAATGAACGCGTGATCTTAGAAACACATTATTCTCTAAAACCACTCAAGTCCAACTGCAAAGACAATTGACTAATAAATACATTATGTTTAATTATCCGTATGACATCATTAACAATACCGCACAACCCCATGGGAATCAGAAAGGTGTTTCGTTCGAATTCATTTGTGACTGCAAAAGGATTTTCACTGCAATGCGCAATTTCTGGTTACTTTTTAGCATAGGACCCATAATTGGTGAATGGTTCCTGTTCATCATTGCTATTCGCCATCCATGTTACCTTAAATTTTCAGTCTGCAAAGGACTGCAAAGCTTAATGAAACGACAAAAAGGATAATTCCAGTTAATCTTGAAAATTAAACTGCAGTTATGCTTCTACCGCAATATTGCTATTTGCATGAAAAGAAAGGTTGATAAAAAAGAGGCTTTTCAATCTCCTTCAAATGAAAAAGCTAGGCTGTCAACAAACGTTTTATGTTCGAATGCGGGTGATTTAGCGAGCGCGCGAGGATAAGTGCGGAGCGCGAGAACTAGAGAGAAACATCCACCCCTTGTGTTAGCGGTCAATACACTGCTAGCTCGCGGTTTTGTTTTCATACGCACGCAAGAAAATAGAAGGTCTTTGACCAATGTTTATTTTCGCACTGACTGTCAAGGGTGCGAGGGTCATAAAATTAGGTTAAAGCTGGTTAAAGTGACATCACGAGCCGCCCGTTTTGCATTTAAAACTAGTCTGTTCACAGACCTCCTATTTCTCACAGAGATCATCGAGCACGCGTGTGAATCCGCGGGGCATAAAGAGAAAAACGTCAGGTTCCCATGGCCGGCTCCCATGAAAACGTCTGTGGACGGGCTAATTTTATACTTTCGTAGCCTGCGTAGCAAGGATTTCCAATCGAGTTATTGCGTAGCCTGTGAAAACAACCGTTTCTCCTTGTTCCTCGCCGCTAGCAAGGAAAAAGGGCTGTATTCGCAAACTAGTTATTGCGCGGAAGCAGGAGCCCAACTTTCACGACGACCTCGCGAGGAACAGGCTCGTGCTCTCGCGGTTTTCCTGGTTGATATGCTTGATTCTCCCTTCAGATATTTTGTCTGAATAATAAAATTAACTTTTCCTAGCTAGAGCTCATAAAGATCTCCAGTTTTCAAAGAAAATAGTTTAAAATCAGTCACGGCTTTTGGTCATTCACATGATAAAAAAACGACTAACTTGTGAATGAAACCTGCCACTGGTAAGATCAGGGCAAGGAGGAGCAGGAGATAGTAAAAAGCCGCCCGCTATAAGAGCCAATCATACTGTAGGATTTGGAGAATCTTGCATGTTAGGCAGAAAATTCTACCAAAAACAAGAGTTGGAAACATTTCGTGTGTGTTACCAGAGGTTTTGGGAAAAATATTCCTTCGGATCTTTGAAAACTGCACGAGCACAGGCGAAGGTTTTGTTACGTCATCTTCGGACACTATTCGGAAGTGTTCTTATGACTCTCCCCAGTTTGTTACATGTCCAATGTTGGCGCGAGACTTCGAAGGTGCTCAAAAGCATGCGTACGTTGTGTGCAACAATCGCGATGAAATGTAGATGAAATTCACTTGAAAATTCAGCTGAACGCTCATCAGGTGAGAGAAAAAGTCGTGAGGAGGAAGTAAACGTGATGTTCAGAAGACTTTGAAGGAAGAAGGTCCAGCAATGGCGACAGCTGGATTGTCCCCAATCTGCTACAATCATCCCGAGAAAAAGGCAGATTTCAAGTGCTTTGACTGCAAACGTGGTAGGTTGTTAGTTGGTTCATCGATGCTCTAACGTACGACTTTATCTCGGAAAAGTTTAGACATTGCTTGCTCGTGAAAAGAGGAGCAAGAAATTGTCCACGTATGCGTTGCATTTCTTGTCATTTCCTTTGCACATGTGTCAAAATTCAACACATGATCTGCTTGTCATCCTGGACAGCATAATTTTTGGTCAATATTTGAGCTAAACTTCAGAATACCCGGCCACTTCTTTGCGTATCATTGAATACCAAAAGTGCCTATTGTGTCATACCTCGTTCTTTAAAGCGTTCCGATAAATGTAAATGATGTGGTTGGGTTTTCTGAAGTTGTCATGATGAGTGTTCAGTTGTATAATAGAGGTGGCAGGGGATGGCAAAATAGGAAGGACCCTCAGTCAAGCGCCCTCCCTTTTGTTTTCAAAGAGATTTTTTTTTCAATTTTTTTTTTGACACAGCTTCCCACTGCTGCATAATTAACATGCTACATGATTATCTTATTTTTATTTTACTCAAAGGGAATTTGTTATTTGGGAAATCGATAATTGAGATAAATACTGTAAGCACCCCAGGGGCCCCACTCACATATTTTAATGACGGGGGGGGTCCGACAGAGGTTCATATTTTATACCCAAAAAAATCCCAACTTCAGTATTGTCTACCAAAAAAAATCCCTACTTTTTTTAGCATACCCAAAAAAATCCCTCAGTGTTTTTGCATCAGCAAATTTTATTATTTATCTTCTGGAAACGGCTAAAACATGCCAACTTCAACTTTGGTTTTGGTCAAAAACAAAACTATAAATTGGGCTTATGTTATTTTTGCTTTGAGCTGATGAAAAATACAATAACCAAAAAAATCCCTATGTTGTTCTCGCGACCCAAAAAATCCCGGCCTCTATCAAAGACCCAAAAAAATCCCTTTTGGCCAAAATGTCAGACCCAAAAAAATCCTTCTGACCCCCCTGTCACTAAAATATGTGAGTAGGGCCCCTGGGGTAAGCACTAATGCCTCACATGAAAGCCCCCAAATCAGCAGGTGGTAGAATGGCAACAGTTACTTCCCACCAAGATAATAGTTTTACCCTTGGGGTTTTAGTGTGAGTTCCAAGTTATACATGCTGAGAAGATATACAAATACTCTGCAAACTATAATTATTGTCTAAGGTGATCTCATCATACCCTGCGAAAACATCCGTTTCTCCTCGCTCTTCACCACTAGGGTCGTTTCGCTCGGAGGAACGTCTGCGATTCAGTGACAGAAATTCCATACTGATGACGCAAATCAATGTTTAGATGATAGATCCGGTAGTCATGGGGTTCCAAATATAAATTTGTCCAATTTTACGTGTCTTGCGGTCCATTTTGGAAAAGTGTTGTGTTCATCTGCTAACTAGCTCCAGGAAAACTCAAATGCTTCTTCTAGAGAAGACTATATTCCACAAATATGGACTGTTTTGTTAGAGATTCTTTTTGTTTACATTTGACCTTTGTGGCTTTTTGTCTTTTGTCTGTCATTCATAAATAATAACTAAAACAATGTAACTACTCTGTTGACCAATCAGCACTTCTGACTGGATTCCGGACAGATTTTATGTCGTCAGTATGGAATTTCTGTCGCTGAGTTGCAGACGTTCCTCTGCGCGAAACGTCCCTAGCGGCGAAGAGCGAAGAGAAACGGATGTTTTTGTAGGCTAGTAGGAATGAAGACGGGCCGTAAAATATCTCAACCCTCTAGTTGCTCCATGTACCACTTGCTACAAACTCAAATCACATGGTCCACTGTGCCCCATATTATAGTCTCAGGTGCATGTACCATGTTTGATGTGGTGTTGTATTTTGCTATCTTTCAGACTCGGTCATCAATTTGTGCCCGCAGTGTAATATTCAAGTGCACAGTCTAGATGTATTCAGAGCACACAGAGTTGAGCAAATTGAAGTAAAGGTGAAAAAATCTACATGTACAGTGTAGTTGAGCTGTCACTATTTCAAGTTGCCGAGAAAATGTGATTAGTAGGGAGGGAATTGAACAGCTTTGGTTCAAATTAATTGCAAAAGATATTATTGTTTTGCAGGACAGGGAACGTAGGCTTTCACAAGACGTTGATGACATTGAAAAGTAAGTAAAATAAAAAACAGAAGCACATTCACATTACTAGTGTCTGGGCTTTGGTGAAAACCAGCAGCCAGTAATGTAAAACAAATGGTTAGATGTAATTCTTACTTTCGGGTCTGTAAACAAATTCTTGTGGTGTTGTACATATATTTTAAATTCATGAAGCCTCTTTGGTAAATTTTACTATTCTTGTTTTAGTTTGTTATTTTGTAAACTGAAACTTGCCATTCTCTGTTGATTTTTTTTTATTTTGGGTGGTCATAGAGTAAAGTAATCAATGTAGTTTTGTGAATACATGTAAAGTTACATGTACTGATTACTTTACTGTCTTCCTTTTCAGCATGGTTTCAATGCTGGTTTATTATCTGTGGATAATTTATTTTTCTTTCTAGTGCATGAATGCTTCCAGTTAATACATGTAATTCATGTTTACACAAGTTTACTTTTTCTAATTCCTGTTTACATTGGTCATTAATTGAAATGTTTCCAGATTAATAGCTGTTGAAAGTGATATTCTTCAAAATGTGCTGGCTAGATTGAAATACTGTGAAGAAGAGGAGAAGGTATTTATTATTACTGCTCAAAATAAAGCTACATATTAATTACAATATGTTTGTGTTATAGATAAAACTAGTTCTCAGGTTAAAACTTAGTTTCCTTTGTCTTCTATGGATAATAATTAGGGCTAGCTAACAAAGGAATTTAATACTGATTTAACCTGAGGTCAATTTTACCTACAACATTACTTTGTCAGTGCATGCTTTGATTCATTGTTGTCATCTATTTTATATTTTTTTTGTCACTCAAATTTTATACATCTCAGATCTTAAAATAAATTTACAAGAAGAAGTCTGCAAGCTTTTAGTAAAAAAAAAAAGTTAAGAAAACAACAAAAAAAAAAACGGGGGAGCATTGTCACTTTGCTGGGATCCAAACCTGAGATTCATTTAATGATGTGGAGATTGCAAAGCACTAGGCAATCCAGGTGTGACAAGTTTATCTTTATAAACTTTGGTATATGTATACTCAGAGGCCTTTGGCCTTCACCTTGAGGGGAGTAATAATACACCATTGAATGAAGTTTGCTGAAAAGACCCACTCATCCAAAATTTGGCAGAAAAAGTTGCATTGCAGGGATTTATTTTGCAACATTTTTAGATTACGGGAAAAAAAAGTATTTGGAGCTATATCCAGTAATGAACAACTGTTTTTGACTTTAACTACAGTAGAACCTTGTTAACTCGAACTTGGATAACTCAAACTCCCCGCTAACTCAGCTACACGTAAAATTAATTTCCTTTCCCTCGATCAAATTTTTACTGAAATTTACCCCGATAACTCAAATTCCCCACTAACATGAACTATTTTTTGTTTTCCTTCAGAGATTGAGTTACCGGGGTTCTACTGTAATAGTAATATTAATGTCAAAAATAGTAACTATTTTTGACATTAATAAGTGTTAATTATTAGAATGCCCCTTCTGACAAGTTGTATCCATGGCAAAATCAGTGAAACCCCCCTTTTTGGGACGATGCATAGCCCATAAATATTATTGTAACCTAACTGTAGCAAATTTTGTTGATAATAAAAATCAATGTCAGGATCGACTGTCTTGGCAGTTTCCTAACAGATCATAAATTCACTATTTTTTGTGGAAGATGGCACTTAATTTGTGGTGGTGGTTTTTTCTTTCAGGAGACAATAAGTCACTTAATTCANTGGAGCTATATCCAGTAATGAACAACTGTTTTTGACTTTAACTACAGTAGAACCTTGTTAACTCGAACTTGGATAACTCAAACTCCCCGCTAACTCAGCTACACGTAAAATTAATTTCCTTTCCCTCGATCAAATTTTTACTGAAATTTACCCCGATAACTCAAATTCCCCACTAACATGAACTATTTTTTGTTTTCCTTCAGAGATTGAGTTACCGGGGTTCTACTGTAATAGTAATATTAATGTCAAAAATAGTAACTATTTTTGACATTAATAAGTGTTAATTATTAGAATGCCCCTTCTGACAAGTTGTATCCATGGCAAAATCAGTGAAACCCCCCTTTTTGGGACGATGCATAGCCCATAAATATTATTGTAACCTAACTGTAGCAAATTTTGTTGATAATAAAAATCAATGTCAGGATCGACTGTCTTGGCAGTTTCCTAACAGATCATAAATTCACTATTTTTTGTGGAAGATGGCACTTAATTTGTGGTGGTGGTTTTTTCTTTCAGGAGACAATAAGTCACTTAATTCAACTGCAGACTGCAACAAAAAAACGTATTGCTGAGATCAAAGAATGTGAGACAAGAATTGAGAAGGCTTTTGGTTATCTAACAAAGGTGTTATGAAGTCTGTTTAGGAAATTTAAATTTGAAGTTAATTGTTTTAACCTAGATAAATACATGTAATTCTCAGTTTGCTATTCTCAAAAGTGCTGATTATTACTGGTTATGAAAATAACATTGGTAAGTTATTTTCTCCTTAAATCCAATTATCACTCTTGCTCCTGGAAATTAAAAAAAATGCCTCTAGAATCAAGCTGTTTTCTGGTCACTGTCTGGCCAAAACAAACTAAAACTGCCCGAAATGCTCTTTAAACCAAGCACAATGCTTCCTTCTATTTCTAATGTCTGACCATGCCCAGGACAAATTGTGGGGTCTAATTAAAAAATTCTCATTTTTCCTTTGTTTGCTAGTCCTAACTCATGAATAATCAGGGCCGTGAGGCAAAGAAAATTAAGAATCAACCAAGATGAACAAACCCACACATGCCATGTGTGTTACATGCTGTAGAGACATTGATGGATTTAATGTAAAGGATTAAAGTATCTGAAGCAGTGAAGGGGTACAGCTGTATTTAGGTTGTGAAATTGGGTGTACATATAAAAATGGAGGTTGCTCAAGGATGCCCAAGGTAATCCCTGTGTCACAAATACCCAAGGATACAGCCACTGCTTTAATGACTCCCACCCTGACCCTAAGGGAAAAACTTTTCACCAATGTCTTTTAGTCATCTTTCTCAAACCATAACAGACTCTATATTCATGCGGCTTTTTCTTTTTGCTGTTCTTTAGGTATCAACCTTGTTGACACAGTGTAGTGCCCCTGTTGAGGACACTAAAGTCACTGTAGCTTTTAAGGATCCCTGTGCTCCTGAGCATGAGGCTACTGCTCCTTCTACTGCTGCACCCCAACAGTCTTTGGTACATCCTGCACAGGAGCCAGCAGGTGAAACCCAAAATGTTCTCCCCATAGAGCCTCTGTTGAAGCTTCCTGATGAGATCATAGGTAAGTAATGATATGTAAGTTATAGGTTTGTAACCTTTCATACAGCAATGCACTTACAGATGTATGACTTACCACAAATTTATCGACTATATACAGTGTAGCTTCTTCAAACCCAATAGTCTTTTGTTTTGTTTTTTTACAACAATACCCCACAAAGTGAAGCTGTCAAAGTGAATAACAAAATAGTTTTTTTCCTGCCTGATACATCTAATCTGATGCAGATGCTTTTCAGCACTGATGTGTACACGCATCTGACTTGTATCTGTGTTGTTTGCTTTACCTTGGCCTGCACTACTAGTCAACTGAATGTACATGTACATGTAGGACATTGTTCACTGGGTGACAGAATTTAATGTTCTTCTTGAGGATTCAAAAACGTTTGCATCATGCTTTTATGAAAGAGGGAAATAACTAAGAATACATGTATTTTGGTGTTGGGGATGCTTGTGCATTGTCAATTTTGTCAAGATAAAAATACAAAATGTTCTTGAACAACATTGGACAGCATTCAGCTGCTCCAGCTTTTAATAGGCATTCTACAAAAATATTAGAGAAAATACAGCCAATCAAACATACAGTGATAATGATTTAAAATTCTATCTGGCTGGAGGCAAACAAGTTAAATATTTTACAAATGAAGGGATTGAATTTGGGACTGAGGAAACAATTTCAACGTGGGATGCCTTGATTTAGAGAGTGCAATCCACTAACTACTTGGCCATGCTGTCTCCCTGACAGAAAGTGCGGGGAAGCGCACCTGATCAAATATGAAATTCTTCCCTTGATTCACAAGGACCCGTAAGGCAAATTGAGAGGAGAATCTACATGTAGCTTTTTAGCACCCTAGCTTTATTCCAGGTGCACAAGGATGACACCCAAGGCAGCAGGAGAAAAAAATCACTGCTATGACATTTGGAAACAATCTTGCCTTTTAAAATGTGTATTTGTTATTCCAGCTTTAATTGTCCTGCATGTGCAATCATGCTAGCAGAGATCATCAGATTCTTTGACATTGAGATTGGTGTTATGTTTTTCTGTATCTAGGAAAAGATGTCTTTCCTGTGTCTGTGGTTGGCTCTTTGGCCAGAAATGGGTCTTTCTGGATGATTAAAGTTGGGGAAAGTGATTTGCACATAGCACAACAAATCCATAGTGGCTTAAGGTAGGTGAATGTTCTCCTTTACTGAGTATGTTTTATTTTTTGGTGAGCATCAAAAAAACTTTTTCTACATGTATGTAAAATTATTGAGAAATCTGTCATCAGTGAATCTTTTGTTTTCTGTCTCTCTAGACTCGATCCTCGACTCGATTCTTGTTTTTGATTCTCGATTCACGCAGGAATTGAGAATCGTGAATCAAGTCAAGAATAGAGACTCAAAATAGACTATCAACTTACTTTTGAATGGTACTGAACTTTGAAATCAGAATTTAACTGATTATAATACCCTATTATATGCTTTGCTCATACGTGTAGAACCTATTATCACATGCATGGTTACAGAGACACTGTTGATGTCAGCGTGGGAGCAATTTGTGCAGTCCTTAACAGAAATAATAAAGAGTTCTGTCGTGTGAGAATAGAAAGTATTGCAAGCTCTGGAATGGTAAGATCAATATTATACACTCTTGGGGTGATCATACTAACCCTTAAACCCCAATATCAACCTGTAAATTCTCTTAACTGGCCCAGTCAGTGATTTTGTTACCTCTGCGTCCTGCTTCCCTGACGCATAAAAATCCCCATAAGATGCAAAATAATTTATGGCGTGCATCCTGTAGGATGCAGAGAACGATCAATCAATAGTCCAGTTTCAAGTTCGCTATGACCGCTGAATTAAAGAAGTTAAGATGCACATCACAATTACAGACAAGTCCTACTATTATACATCTTGCTTACTATCCATCTTCTCTTTGGCTAAAAGCCTATATTGTTAATTTTGGAAATCATGGCAACCTATCTGTAGGTTATGCTCAGAATGCTTGATTTCCAAGAGCAATGTCAAACTGAATTCCATGCAACAGTGTGCTGATCTTTATTTTCTTCAAGACAATATGATTAAAACATTATTATTAGATTCGGTTTTTCAGTATCAGGAATAATCAAGATCTTAGTACATGTAAGTGTTATCAGTCTCAGCCGTAGGCTCGGCTGATAACCTTGATTATTCCTGGTATCACAAAAACCTTATCTAATGCTGATATTGTTTATAAACCGACAGCAGTGGAATCCAGCAGTGGAATTGCTAAAATTGCAGACACTGTATTGTGTGCTTTTCAGGTGAAAGTACGCTTTTTAGACTTGGGATTTGTTGAAAATTTTCAACCTTCAAGTTTATGTAAACTGCCTCCAGAATTTTTGGATATTCCATTTCAGGTAGGTTCTACCAGGTATGGGCAGAAACTTTAAACAGTACATTACTTCTATTGTTTGTTCAAGTTTCTGTCTTGCCTGGCCTCGAGAAAGCACCATCTTTTCAATGTAGTGGTCCATGTAGTTGCAGTTGACCTCAGATTGAGAAAGCAGGCAATATTTCATGTCACTGCCACTAGTTTTCCCACGAAATGACGTCTGAGAAGGACTGTAGAAGTTCCATTCTGATGACATTTCACTACCCAGATCTGGCTAGTGTGTGTGATTAGTTGTGGTGCAAGGAAAATTGCTTCAACCAATCAGAAGTACTACCCAGTTGTGACACATCTAATCATCAGAGTATGGAATTTCTCCAGTTGTCGCGAGGACGTCATTTTGCTAAGAAAGCAGTGGTGGTGTCATGAAAATGTCAACTGTTTTCTCAGGCTACACTGGCCTGGTGATGGTCCAGGTTCAGGCCCTCAGCACATGATACTGGTAACCAGCAGGCTGGTCTGGTTGTCACAGTGAGCTATGTATTCTGTTCATATGGAAAAATCACAGTTACAAACCTCCAAAAAAGATGCAAAACATGAAACTGTAGAGGGAGAGCAGGAGAGGTTGAGAGAGAAGGAAATGCTTAATATTGTCATTATATTTTGCAGTCATTGTAGTGTTGTCACCATGAATATTATGTACATGTGTAATACTGTCAGTTCTTGGTGCAGCACCTCCTTATCTGTGTTGAAATTAAGGCCTTGTAGTGGCCATTCTTGGTATATAATCCAGTGAGCAATGGATTATTTGATAGCATAACTATTTATTGTAGCAGTAGTTGTAAACATAATAGTTTATTCAAAGGACTTACGAGTACAGTACATTTACATCAGCTGCATGTCTGGCCAAGGTATTATTTTGGCCAGCTAAGCCAAAGTTTAGATTAACTTTGTTGGCCTTGGGTCAATATTGTAGTTGCTCATTGTCCGAAGATTATTATACAATGTATGCATCATGGTTATTTGCAGCTCTGTGAAGATGTAAAGAACTACTTTTTAACATTCATTGCAGGCTCTAGAATGCTGTTTGCTTCCAACTCTTGATTCACAGCTTCCTTATAAGGTGATGTTGTACAATTGACTGCACTTCTCATTAACACATGAACTCTGAACTTTAAAAGTCAGCTTACAATTCCTTTTTCTACCGTCAATCATAATTATGCTCGCTAGAAACGAACCCTGAAACACTGAAAATGACAAAACAGGTTGAAATCCAGCAATCAGAAACCACAAATCATGACCTTTTGAACTTGTTGAAGTAAACTTCTGTTGAGGTCTGCTAATAAGATGATTGAAAACAGCATACATGTAGAACACAAGCGTTTGTTAACTTTTGAACCTCGGAGTTCATGTGTATTTGAAAAAACGCAGTAACTGCCATACATAACTACAGAAAATACCATTAGGTTTTATAAAGCAGTACATTTTACATGTGTGTGTTGCTGTAAGTAACTGTGATTTTTGGGCTGAAGAAGGTTTTCTGTCATTGTCACTGATGTTACATGTAAGAGCTTACGCTTGTCAAATCTTTGTCCATTTTTTAGGCAAAGTGGTGTTTTAAAGATTTAACCTTTAACAAATTCTTAATGGCAGCACTTGAAGACCAGGTATTTTTTGTTGATGTAACTTCATTTAATAGTATTACCAGTGTGACTAATTTTTGAAACTCCTTTTTGACAACTATAATTATCGCTATTAGTTAACTTATGCAAAAGGACAGCGGAGGAAAGAGGAAGACAAACTTTGTGTGACAAGCTGGTCAATAAAATTATGTTTGAAAAATTTTCCATGAAACTTTACCTTCCTTTAAACAGAACTCTTTGTAATAGACCAGAATTAAGAGTATTGTCAAGTGATGATCAGGACAAAACTCTGAAGTAATAGCCATGTCATGTTTGTAACACACAAATGTTTTTCCTTTCTCTCTTTCGGCTGTCCTGTCACGTAAGTGGTATTGTATATCATGGTTTTGTCAAGTTTCTATTCCAGTGAATTTCCCATTGGTCATTGTTTTAATTTTGCTCTCTCTAATTGCAAGCTGTAAACATTTTACTGACAGCTAAATCTACTGGTACCATGAAAGGCACCTATTCGGTGGCAGTGGTAGTTAGGATTAACTGCAATAATATTTTTTATTTGGTTGTTACAAGAATTTGAAATAGCTGGACATGGATAAACTTTTTTCGTGAGATAACATTCACTCGCACTGATATTAGCAGTCAGCTTCTTTAGAATCTCATTACATGATCAGATCTTCTTTAAGGGTCTACGTTGGGTTTTAGGCCAATTTGTCATTTGCGTAAAAACTTGCTGGATTTATCATTTTAACCCAAGAAAACAGCCAATATTTCAGGATGCCACTACTGGTTTCCCCACAAAGTGATGTCTGAGGAATACACTGTAAGTGCAGAAATTCCATACTGATGACGTGTCACTACCCAGGTCTGGGTAGTGATTCTGACTGATCGTACTGCAAGGGAAATTTGTTTCAAGCAATCAGAAATACTATACCATGATCTGGGTAGTTACATGTTATCGGTGTGGAATTTCTGTGCTTGTCCCTCAAATGTCATTTTGTTTTCTATTGACAGATGGTACCCGTTTCTCATATCTAGTTAAGAAATTTGCATCCCTTTTAACTGCTGTAAATGTGCTGTCTTTTAAACAGGAATCAATCGCAAAAATAGAATGTTTTCTCGTCTTGTTAGAGCCATATTGATAAAATTCATCTGTTAGCCCCATTTGGCCTTTTTACAGACCCAAATGACAGATTTCCCTACCCTTTCATACCAGAAGGCCGAAAAAGGTACCCCTTTCAGGGTAAGCCTCCCCATATAGGTCATCATAGAGCCCCCCCCCCCCGAATGTCGAGAATGTTTTCTCAGCTTAAATGGATCTCAACATGAGACCTTCAGTTTACTCAAATATTATCCCAAGCTCTTTTGAATGATTTCTGGTTTGTATCAACGAGTGATTGATAACAGTAAATTAGTAAAGCTTGGAGCTCAAACATGTGAAAATAACTGTATTTGTATTTTCATAGGTGACTGATAGTAAAGGCCATACTGTGAACCATGTAACACTTGCGTCATGTGGTGAAGCGCCAGTTTGCATCAACACCAAAGTAACACAGTTAGGTTGGTTGAGCTTTAGTGTTTTTTTTTTTGTATTAATCCTTTTCAATTGGGACCTTTAGATTCGGGGACGAGAACGACTGTGACTATTTGACTTAATTTTTTTTCATGTATTCTCAAAAAATAGACACCTGGAAAGCTTCATTGTACTTTTTTTCACCAGAAAAGTTAGCACTGGTATATTCATTGAAGAAGGTTAAGCCCTCTCCTGATTGCAAAATAATAAAACTTCTAACTATTGATAACTTGTTTCCGACACTATAACATTCATGCTAAAATTCATAGTAGAATTGCGACCAGACGGCTATCATGTTTTCCCGTCAAAATGACACTGGTTCACCCGCAAGCACTACTTAGTATTGAGAAAATGTTGTACTCATAGTTGTCCTCATCTTAGAAACGAAAGGTCTCCAATTTGCCTCGACACAAGGTATCAAAAGAAGTTGTACCAACAGTATTCTCTTGTGTTCTAGCATGTTAATGAGTTGCTGTATAACATAAATAAATGTAATTATGATTATTACTATACATAACATGTAGCAGCGTGCAAAGAAAGTAATGTCCAATAGCCTGGGGCTAGTGGATTTTGCTATTGGGCTAGTGAATTCTGTTTTTAACTTGCCCAACGGGCAAGTGATTTTTTTTAGCAATTTGAATAACAGAAGAACTGTTAAAATCAATTCTGCTCATCAAAAAGCTTTTGGGGCTAGTTGAAATGATGTCTGGGCTAGTAAGTTCTAGCTTCAGTTTGCCCGAATGACAAGCTGTAAAAATGATTTTCTTTGCACCCTGTATAGACGTTGTGCATAATATTGTGAAAATTGTATTACATGAAAATTACATGCATATTAAAGTAATCTTTGTTGAGAGTTGGAGCATATGAGAAAAGCACTTTCAGTTCTGAAGAGTGGAGCCTTACAAAATAAAATGAAAAAACCAATAGCTGGGACCTTTATGGCCTACAATTAATATATTGTAATTTTATGCCCACCTCACATTGGAACTCACTTTTTGACAACTATAACAAATACATGTTAAATACATGGATCCTGCTGCTTGCTGCTTACTTATTTTGCCCAGGAAACCAGGAAGGGGAAGAGAAAGTATGAGTCAGTAAGACCAATGTTTTCATCATCATTGATCAGTTAAGAAAGATAATTAGTTTAGGCTAAGAGATGAATTCAAGAAGGTAGGGAGGTATCAAAACAATTTCAGTTTGTCGCAAGTATGTGACAATGATTTCAAAAGTTTACGTCTTAAAAGAGATCCAACCCTTAATCGCCTATTCACCAGAAGAATTATTTTGTTGTCCAAAGCAAGCTTCCCTCTCTGAACCAGTGCACTTTCAGTGGTTTCAGAGATTTATGTTGAAGACTGGACGAGAGTCAATAGTTAGCATACAACATGGAACGAGGTTGAGGGGTGGATGGAAATCACAGTATTATAACTTGTTATGAGGCTTTGATTTTTACCTTTATTCTTGTTCTTGACTTTGTTTTAGTGGAGGAGCAGAAACTTGCTTCAGAGGTGAGAATGTGTCATCTTGGGTTTTGAAAAAAAATAATGATAAATACACCTTATTCGATGGTTTAGCATATAATACGTGCGGATATTTTGCGAGTTGCGTAAATACGAGCTATGAGCAAAATGTCCGCTCGTATTATATGCTAAACCATCGAATAAGAGGTTTATTATTCCACTACAAAAAAAAAATTATCTGGCAATTGGCTTCTATTTTTTGGTAAGAGTATTCAGAGACATCCTGATTCTGTCTGTGAGAATGGCGTTAACAATTAGCAAAATGTTCGCGCTTATTATATGCTAAACCATTGAATGAGAGGTTAATTATTTTACTGCAAAAGAAAAATGGTATTTTGGCTTCTATTTTCTAATGAGAGTATCCAAAACATCCTTATTCTGTCAGCCACAGTTGCTACTTTTGCATCCGCCGGTATTCGCCCTGTTGTAAACCGGTTAAACCAGGACACTACGGTGTATTACGGCCTCGTATTTTGCTTGTTCTCTTGACCTTATATGGTAAAATGACATAATAGTGGAATAATAATACGAGGAAATAACATGCAAATGGTATTTGTAAAAGAGTCATTTAATTTTTGTTATATTAAACAGTTAAACTCTTTCTTTGTACCTCAGGGCCGGGTTGTTCGAAGCTGGGTTAACCCTTCAAGCCCCAATATCAACATAAAAATTCTCCAAACTGATCTCTATACATTTCCTTAATGAATGAGTTGAGAGAATTTTATAAAAGATCAAAGTATTTTCTCTTAGGTGATCTTTTGATTAATTCTCATAACCTCATCTCATGACAATGTATGGATATCGGTAGGAGAAAATTGATGTTGGTCACTACTGGGACCTAAAGGGTTAAGATAACCCAGGGTTAGTGCGAAATTTGAACTCAGATACGAGAGCTTAAAAAGCAAATCCAGTTTAGTTTTCTTTGCCTACAACTTGATGACTGGATACTCTAAAATGAATAGAGAAAATTTTCCGAGAGAGTGCTATTGATAAAAAGAAAAAGGAAACCTGGGTTAACATTTAACCCCGGGTTAGCGCTAACCGGCCTTCGAACAACTGGGCCCAGATGTTAAATGTATAATTTATTTGATTCTTGGTTATTCTTCTTTTACGTAAAATGTTTTTCTAGGATCGCCCCATTCAACCTAAGGCGGAGGAAGCGGAGAATGATCCAGCTGTAGTTGAAGAAATCAGTAACAAAACTCCTTCACAGACGGATGTCCCATCAAGTTTAATTCCAGATGCTTGCAAGAATGTCGACAATAGAGAGAAAACAGAAGACCAGCTGTTCGAGGAAGGTGACAAGATCAGTGTTGGTGATGCCGAAGTTCCGGCATTATCTGACCCCGTTAGTGACAATGCTGTCAATCAGAATGCAATTGACGACCCGCCATCATTACGAGCAGAAGCAGCTGCGTTTGTTCCAGCCTCATCTTCATCTGACAACAACACACCAAGTAAAGCCCCTTTGGATATTTCTTCGGAGAGATGCAACATTCCTGGAATTTTACATCTACCGCTGATGGCTAACAAAATTCTCACTGCAAAACCTGTTGAAGAGAACAGCGATACCGTGACTTTGTCTGAGGTCAATGTACCTGAGGGCTGCGTTGACTTTGCCATGTATAACCACATCATATCTCAGTGTTCCTTGAGTTTTCTTCCAAAAGAAGCCTTGCCAAAGGCACGGTTCTTTATGGTCAGATGTAACATGAAAAGGGTTATAGAGGCGATGAAGTGTGGACTCTGGTGTTCTCTACCAGAAAGTGGTAAAAAGCTTAACCGTGCGTTTAACGAGCAGGCGAACAAGGGTGGGAACCCTGTGTACCTCTTGTTTTCAGGACTTAAAAGTACAAATTTCTGCGGCATGGCGAAAATGGAATCTGCCATTGATCCCAACATTAATTGTCCTACGTCAATCAAGCCATATCATCTATCTAATTCTTTGATTGGCTGTTGTGTCGTCAGGTGGTTCTTTGCACAAGATCTTTTCTTTGGAGATGTTCTTACTCCTGAATGTGGATTCCACAAGAGATTTCTAGCAAACTGTGGTGATGGAACCGAAATCCCAAACAAATTAGGACAGCTTGTTGTTCGGAGTTATGAGTCCTGTAACTATTTCCGTTCAATTTTAAAACCTGCCTTGCAGTCATACCAGTTGTACTTGACTGAACAAGTAGGGATTCCCGGTACAGTCAAGCCTTTGATAAGTGCTCAGCTACAAGAGCGAGATGAGGGGTTGCAGTTGCCACAGGAAGAGGACTGGGACCAAGAGGTATTTTCTTTGGGAATTCGAATTCTGAAATTTTTAATGGTTTCTTGAACTTGTCACGTTCCATGTCTCCCACTCACAGGTCATGGATTTGTAGGTTCCTTAAGGATTTGTAGGGCAATTGTATCGTGCTTGTACTCATAGAGAAAAACTGTTTTGATTTTGGGGACTTGTGGAGTGTGACCCGTAATGTGCAACATAGGGAAAATTTTGGAACCCAAAGTCAAAAGAGTTGGAGAAAGTGAATTGAGATAATTGAGCACAAAAATGATAATTTTTAACTCATTTGCTGCTAAACAACGATAACAATTTTGGCGCGCAAATGACCGAACGGCCGTCGCGTTTTCTTGCGGGCAAACAAAACATTTGAAGGCATTTGTTTAGCTCTTAGTGGGAAATTTCTTCAAAAATAGTTGTGAATTCTTTTTGTATTTGACCATTTTGTAAAAAAACTATTAACATGTAATTTAGTTTTAAGCTTATTTATGAACATGTCAGAAAAACCAAGTAGCGCAAGACTTAATCTGCATTTGTAAACAAAAAACCTTTTCGCCGGTTTCATCGATAAATTCAAGTCAAACAGACAAAGCTTTACCTGTTAAAACTTCCAAACCAAATTTTGTCACCTTGTTTGTGTATTTCGGGAACAGCTTGTTTGATTATTTGAAAAACATGTATTGTTTGTTACGGCAGGAATCCGGGAAGACATTTTACTCGTAACTTACACGAATTTGGCGTCGCTCGCTCGGAAGAGCTGGGGGTGCATCAGTGAATAGCACTGGATATCCCGAGTTTGAGTTGCTAATCAGAGCGCGCCAAAAACTATCCACAGTTTTAGTATATACTCTTTATTATCATTATCATCATCATCATCATCATCATCTGTCTGCACCAGAAGAATGTGTTTGATAAAATGACATGTAGAAGACACACACTGATCTCTTGTCCACATCAGCTCGAGGCTGAAGTTTCCCTGATTATATGCACTACTAACCAGAGGGTTTTTTGTTGTTGTTTTCATGGTAGATCGAGGACTCTAAGGCAGCAAAATCTTTAGAAAATGAACCATTGGATGAAATCCCTAGTGAAAAGAAGGAAGTGGTCAAAGGTGTTGCTGTGTCAGAGACAGCTGTGTCTGATTATTCCACTGAAGGGCTTAATTCTCTTGGTGCGGAAAGCTTCAACAATGAAGACTGCACAGCAGTCAGTTCTGTAAAATATGACAACGAAGTGAGCAGTGTGAAGCAAGATGATGTTGCGCCTCAAGAAAGTGTATCTTCTGTCTGTTCATCCATAGAAAAGACAATTGCTGACATTTCAGAAACTCAAAGCTCGTCCGAGCCTGCTGCATCAGCCTCTGCGGAAACTGAATTTGGAAGATCAGCACCTGACACTGTCACAGACAATGAGAGTGACTGGGAGAGCTGTAGTCCTCTCAAGACGAGTGGTAGAAGAGCCCTGTCGGAAACCACAGAATGTGAATATGTAGAATGTGATAGTGCTGTGGACGAACCTAATAATACTCCACCAGATACTCATGGAACGCAAACACACGAAGAAAACTTACAATGTGGTGAAGCGTTTGATGTACCCAAAACTGAATCTGAGAGTGTTGTTTATGATTCGGATGTTTTTCCTCACCAAGACTTGGCAAATGAGCCGACAGATAAGCAAACAACGTTTGAAGAGAGGATATCAGGTAAAGGTACATCACAAGAAGATTTAGGGCAGCTCAATGGATTCAAAAACACTGTAGAATTGCAAACTCCACAAGGAGACCCTGGTGATCTTGCAGTGAGCAATTCATTAGAAGTAGTGACTGATGAAAATAATCCTGAATGTGAAGAAGAACCTTCAGATTCTCAACCCAGTCTCTTGATTAGCGATGATGAGAGCAAAGTGACGGACACCGTTACAGGTATTTACAAACAGGGAAATTAAAGCAGCAACGTTTTTGAGCGACGCATGTCAAGGGGAAGTGAGCCTTTTTTCTCCGGAAGTGAGCCTTTTTGCCTTGACCCCCTATTTGTATGGTTAAGTGTCTTTACTCTTACAGAGACCATTTGCCCAAGCATTTGTTCAAAATCACGGCTGAAGAGGTCAGAAAGTCCACTTCCGGTTGACGTCCGTCGTTCATTAACGTGGCTGCCTCTAAACTCCCTAATTTAGTAATGACCGACTAAAGTGATGTGTGCTAAATGATCGTTTAGATGTGATTATTCAAAAAACATCTTCTGTATTTTGTTTAAAAATGTACAAAGTGCAATTTTGAACAAAAGACAAATTTCTTGAAAAAAGAGGCAATTCCGGTCGCAGTTATCTTCGCAAAAAATTTCTGTAGGGTTGACTTATGGCGTTGCCTTTCTCAAATTAGCCAAGTTTCGCGTGAAGTTAGTCGATGTACTTGACAAACATTGTTAGTGAGCTTGTGGTCTCTCAAGGTTGGGGGCCCGAGGTTTGCCTTCTTGTTATATTGACCTGTACGCTGATTTCTCTACATATTCATATTCTAAGGAGAAGAATAAACAAGGGGTTCCATAGTAATCCACCGTGATGCCCCTACCCTTTGGCAAACCTCGGTGTCCCAAACTCTGCACACTGAACCTACAATGGCAAATTTCTTTTCCTTCACAATCTCTGGATTTTATATTTTAAAGCACTAATTTGAATTAATTATTATTCTGTGTGAGTTTAAATAAAAATTGACTCGACTTGACTTGACGCGCTCGAATTTTGAATCTCAGAAGCCTTCGCTTCTTGCGATTTCTAACTGCTCTGAGGCTATTTGACCAGTGGAGAAAGGAACTAAAATTGTGCTTAACGCATGTGCGGAACAAGCGTTTTTCTTAAACTCAGAATAGGAAAGGTTTTGCTAAAGGATGATTTTAACCGAGTGAGGCAACAATATTGTTTTTCATAATTAAGAACTTTTTCTACTTTTAAACATGAAATGAGAATTTAAAGTCATTCAATTCATGTAATGTGGATTACTGTGAAAAGGATAAAATACATTTCCCTCTATAATGTACTTATACACACTTTCAGATGAAAATGAAGTGCAAGAGTCGGACAGTGAATGTGGAGATCAACAGGGAACTCGGGCTTCTTCACAGGCAAATGGTGTAACCAGCCAGCCCGCCAAACCGGACCCAGCATTCCATGGGAGCTCAGAGGACTTGCTCTGTGAATACGAGGATTTGCCTGTGGAGATAGGTAAGAAAGGGAATGGGCTAGGGGTGAACTGAGTTCCTGTTCTTGGTTGTTTAAGATCACGATACGTGCACGTCTATAATATGTTTCATTCAAACGCGACAAAAATTCAGAGTAAGCGGCACTCCACAACCTGGTAGTTGGTAAATGCAGGGACTAATTTATCGTCCCGGCGGTGTTTTCTAAAAGCACTATTTCTTTCAGTTTTTCAGTATATTGCAGTATGAAATTTAGGATTTGGCTTTCATTTTAAATTGGATTTGGGTAGTCCTGGGAAACAAAGGGGTGAAAGTAACAGATATTAGTAAAATCCAGCTAGTGGTCTATTATCAATGCTGCGTTCTGATTGGTTGAGCTACTACTAGGCTATATGTTATAGCTCACTAGCAGCGAAAAGCGCCGGCTTTTTGGCGGCAAAAAAGGATTAAAGTCTAGCAACACACCGCTCTTACAGCAACAATATCTGGATCAATTTAGGTATCTGGGAAACTGCCCACCTACCCCTCCCCTAAGTCAACATTAACACTTTCTTCTCACTTAGGGTAAAAGGTTGGATTAGGAGAGGGGTGTTGAGGCCTCAAATGTAATAAATGACCCTAAATGTAATAAAGGTCCTAAGTGTAATAACTTTTAGCCCTAAATGTAATAAAGGGTCTAATAACATTGTATGTGCAATAGGTTTTAGCACTAAATGTAATGGAAGTCTTAACAGTATACTGCATGTATGTAGTATAACAACCCCAAACTCGATAAAGTCCCTGACTGAAACATGCGACGGTCTGATGCGATATTAATTTTATAAAACTGTGAAAGGTTTGAACCCAGGAGTCATTTCAAAAGTAGGTTGAGTTTGATCGTCCGGGAGAACGTTGTCCTGAATAGGACTGTTGTTGTTGACATTGACTGATGTTTCGACAACCTGTGCGGTAGTCATCTTCAGAGTCAAAGTTAGTTGTATCACGTCAGTTGATGGTATCATACTCTGGTTATTGATTTGATTGGTCAATTACGGTACGTCGTGATGTTATTGGTCGTCTGTCAAGTAAGCCGTGATGTTATTGGCTATGAAGACTCGTAATCAGTAATTGGTGCGTTTCGATCCGTCTGTTGTCGGATTATTAATTTTATAGCCAGCTGGCGATTCACTTTCTTCGCCCTATTGTAGTCTTCATAGACATTCATAAACTTAGAAAGCGGCTAGAGCGCCTAAGAAGTAAGAGAAACACTTAAAAATTAACTACGTCTCGATCATGTTTCCTACTACAACCCTACATCGTAAAACCCGAGTTATAAACAAATGGAATCTACACAAAAGTTTTCAAAATACAGTAGTAATTTAGTAATTGAAGGAAGTATTAATGTTCATTAGAAACAATCGTAGTAAATTAACTACTTTTGCCTATGGGGTTTTTTAATGTTGCGCCAAAAAAAGAAATGGTTTATTTATTTATTTTTTTTTATCATTTTCCAAAAGAGTATGTTGGTCGGTCCATACAGAATGCTGTGAACACGAAGTTAGATATAAACAGCAAGATATTAATGGCAGTATATCTTGATAGTTTTTCTGACTTCCAGATTTTGATTTTAATCTCTACCAGGAGTACTTCTTGAAGTGAATTTTTATGCTAAGTTTTTTTTCCAGGATTTCAACACATGAATAATAATAAGTTGTTACTCAAATGGCTATATAGGGGATCTGCCTGGGGTATTTAGTGTTTGATATTCCCTAGACACATCTTGTGCTCACTAGCTTAAGCTGTAGTAAGGCTAAATGCAAACACTATGGAATCTTCTTATGACCCTAAGCATATAAAGAGCTGAAACAAATACACTTAGGACCTTAATTACATTTAGGGCCAAAAGTTATTACAATTAGGACCTTTATTACATTTAGGGTCATTTATTACATTTGAGGCCTCGACACCCCTCTCCTAATCCAACATTTTACCCTAAGTGAGAAGAAAGTGTTAATGTTGACTTAGGGGAAGGGTAGGTGGGCAGTTTCCCAGAAACCCAAATTGATCGCAGTGTCTATCAAAACAGAGAACTATGACATTACTGACTTTTTCCGCTCTCACATTTGTAGGAAAGGAACAGTACATTTATGCTCTAGAGAGCCTCTCAAGCAATGGCACTTTTTGGGCTCGTGTTCATAAGCCAGGTGAAGACGATCAGCGTTTCATAGATGCCATGGCACGAATGGGGTTAGTAGGATTTTGTGCCTTGCATTTTTCAAATCCATGCTTGATTTACAAAGCAAAGGCAGTGCCTTCCTCCTCAGTTTTTTCAACCCTTATATTGGTATTTGCCACAGATTTAAACCGGAATCCCTCCCTCTGCAGACTAGGGCCCGTTTGTTTTTAACAGGAATAAGATAACCCAAGATAACCACTAAATTTGACGTCAAATCAGAGCACTTTGAAGACAAATTTCTCTTGATTATTTTTTGCCTACAATTTGAGGTTGGGCTGACGCTCTCAAAACGCAAGATAAAATGAGCAGGAGAAACGCCGTTGAACAAAATAAACAGGAAACCGAAATGAAGATTCAACCCTTAGCGATAATCGGCTTTCCGACAACTTTCCTGCTGCGCTAACGCTGCTGTGGTTAAATGTTAATAGTTGGTTCTAATATGTACCACACATGAAGGACAACAGCGCTCGATGGGCGAGTTGTTGACTACCTCGGAAGTGGATAGATTTTTATTTACCTTCTAGTTGATAAGGAAAACGCACATTCCAAGTGGATGTTGATTCTCTTTGCAGGGCTCACATCGAGGCTAATAACAAACCTCTTGAAAGTATTTTTATGTACAAACATTGTGCCGTAAGGGGATTGGATAATTATTGGTACCGTGCTCTTGTTGAGGAAACTTCAAGTAAAGGAAAGGTGAGACTACCAAAGGCTTTGGTGCACACTTACGGCTTATGAAATGTTACATAAGTTCAATGTTACAATTATAAAGCTATCGTGATGTGAAAGAAACAACCCGTGAAACTGGTGATTACATTGAAATTTTGTAATAAGTCCTAAATGTAGTCGAGTCTGCAAGAAAAGACTAAGATAAGACTGGAAGGAAAGACGAAGAAAACCGTTCAAAACTGCCTGCAACCTCAAGTCACTCATCAGGCTTAGAGTAAGCTCAGAGTTTGAGGAAGTCAAGGATCCTTTAATGAAGCGATAGTAAAAGGTTACTGAATCGGAAAATGACAAATTTTTGGACTTATTATAGTTATCAAGACCAAGAAAAGTTAACTTATCCATTTTTCCACATCACAGTTAAACGATAGTCTACGATTTTCCTCTCATTCCGTGCTTAAAATTAAGTCAGGAGTTATACGGTCAATGAATACTAATACATAGATTTAGCCAGAGCTAAAAGCGAGACTCTGGTTTATGCATGTTAAATTTAGTTGAGACTATGGACTTTAAACCATTGCAAAGAAATCCGCGAATCTAAACTTAACTTTTAATAGCGGAGAACCATATGACTGAAAAACATAAACTTGAGCCAGCGATCACTAAAAATCTTATAACTGGTCAGCGGAAAACACGTGATCTTGATGAGTTAGCACCTGAGCGGGCGATATAGTCATGAGTCTATGGTCAGCGGATACCCTGTTTTGACAGCTGTCAGTTGGCCATATATGGATGCCTATTATCAAGTTAAATGTAGGTTACAGGCTCCATACTAACTAGAAAGTTTAACGTTTCACATTGGTTGCCCTGTGATGCGGACTCGTGATTACCAAAATTTCTCGGATGGACAGATTACCAAATTTTCTGAGATATGGGGCACCGCTTGCGCGTGCTTCGTGCGCTCATGGAGTTCCGCTATAATTGGCTACTTTTCACTGATATTAGGTTGGTATCAGACTGCTTGACTTAGGAGATTACTGGGAAGTCGATCAAAAGGAGTTGCGAGTGCTTGATGATGAGTTCTATGTCGCTCCTCCTGCACAGGTTAGTCTAGACAGTCACGAAATTGCTTTTTGAGTGGTAAAGAACGTACCGGTAAAGTCTTATCTCACTTAAGTGAGGTGGAATACATTGCCGTGTAAGTTTTGTGACAGTGAAGAAGCACAGCCACTGCTAAGATCTCATGTCATAACCGTGGAGTATATTACCGTGAGAGTAGTTTAGGACGCACTGGTAAGGTCTCATTTCATAAGCATGAGTAGGAGTACATTACCAAGTGAGTTGTATAGGGCACACCAGTAGGGTCCCATCTTATTAGCGTGATATAGAATATATTACTGTATGAGTAGTAGAGGGCGCTTTGCTAAGGTCCCATCTCATAAGCATGAAGTTAACACATTACTGTGTGAGTAGTATGGACACACTGCGAAGGTCCCATTTCATAAGAGTGAAGTGGAATACATAAGGGTGCACTGGTTATGTCCCATCTCATTAGAGGGAAGTGGATTACATTAAGACGGCCTCGATCGCGTGAAACAAATACTTGCCATTTCGTCGGTCTGTTAATGAGAGCGCAAGTTGAAAGCACTTAAAAGAGTGTTTTATTACTGCACCACCACCGCCTGCGCATTGTGTGCTACAGACCTGTTTTTGCACTTCATTGAAAATGTCTTAGGTAAAGGTCTGAATATTTTTTGTTTCTTCATTACTTTTTACAATACAGGCTTTTGAGTGCTCCGTCTGTTATGAAAATCCAAATAACAAAAAGGTAGGAAAGTCTCTACAATATTAAGTCGCGTCTTTAACCACGATTATCCTAATGACAAGCTCCCAGTTGACTTGCCAGCTCAGTTGGTTGGTTAGAGCGCTGCACTTGTATCGCAGAGGTCAGGGTTCGAGTCCTGGCAAGACTGAATTTTTTTTAGGCTTTCTTTTGGTAACTGCGTAAGTTGCCCCTTTAAACTGCGATGAACTTCTTTGCATTTATTTCTTCATTCCGCAGTTCCAATAAATGAAATTCGTAATTTTAACCTAATAAGCTATATTTTCAAAGGAAGAAATGGTTTCCCTTTATCCACTTTTACTGTACAATAAACGAGCGGCTTCTAGGGGATATAAACCTCAATTTCACATGGAACGCTCTTGGCTATAGCGATGCGTCGTCATGTGTTTGATGGTGGTAAGGGAGATTACATCACCTCTACATTGACTCAATATGATACAGACCTTCACTGTCAGAAATATAAACTGTTCGTTGTTGGGATGACTTCGCTCAGAAAATTCCATAACCTGTCAGTTGCTTTGTTCTATTCAAGAGTCAGTGAGTCATTCCGCCGGCAAACCTGTTGTTTGGAGTGCTGAATGGGACTAATTTGGCAAAAGAAAGCTATAAATTTACTGTTAATGGTGAAAATAAGTAAAAACTAGATAGAGCTCAATACCATACAGGCTCAATTAGCGTTGATCACGAGAAAGCACTCAACACAGACTGCCCATTTGTATGAGCAGCTCCCTTTGATGTCCGTACTTATGACACGGTTTTACTACGTTGTGTTTTTGAAGGAAAAAAACAGAATCAGCAGACTCGTCAAGAGAAATAGGAGGCTTCGTGTTATTGTGGTAAGTCCATATTATGGTATATACGACTAGCGCGTTGGTATTGTTATTATTATAATATCATAGGTGACGAATTACTCCTTAATTTTGGCGCGAAATTTCAGCGTTAATTTGTAATTTCACATGTGAAATTACCAATTGCCTTCCGTACGTCTCAGTGTCAAGATGGCGACAAAGTTTTAAAATGCCATGAATGAAGATGTCAGGGCACAAAAAGACGCTTTAGAAAACCTGAACACACAAGGGAACATCGAGAAGGATTCTAACAGGTATTTTGCCGAAAAAGTCTGAAAAATTCTGAACTCTATAAGCCAAATTTAAGGTCTAAACATTTGAGAGAGTGGAGTTCTCGATCGATAGATCCAGGATAAACATGTCAAAGATCCAAGATTGCTAACGTAATTCGTCACCCATGATATTAATAGGTAATCAAATGGTATACTCGTGAAATTATCCCCTAATTTCACTCGTCACCATTTGATTACACATACTTATTTATTTAGGTTCAGGTTGTTGACGCGCGGTAGTTAAAAGGGAAACAGGATGGACTCTTCAAGTTTGAGACCTTATTCTTTTCATTAAAGATAACAAACGTAAAAGTTGAACCGCGCTCAACTTTTACGTTTACGCGCGACTCTTCATGGATTGTCTCTATTTTATTTACGCGCGTAAAATTTACGTGCGTACGCACGTAAAAATTACGCGGTAGTGGAAATCCACCCTCAGTGTAAAACCTTTCTTGGAAAATGAAGATTATTTATATGTCAATAAAATCGTTTTTTATATCACTTGCTTCGAACTTAACCTCTCTTTAAACAGAGCCTTGGGACCACTCAGGAATGGCCTACTGCTGGTTTTCAGCCACGTGAAAAGGCGGCCATACTGGTGGACAAAACAATAATTTTTTTTCGAAGTATTTTCATGACAAAACGTTTTGCTCCCAGCGGAATGAAACGCTTTTGTTCGTGCCCACAAGCATAGCCGCAGTGACGTCAGCTGAAACCAGCAAATAGAAAGGCGCATTTTCTGTGGCTACCATTGATGTTCTGAGTTGTAGAACATTCGTTTTTTCTTTTTCGTTTGAACAGAGGAATTGCAGCGAAGGAACAGTTGGAGTTCAAATCCTTTGTTAAAAAGGCGAAGACAACTACAAGCAGTAAGTTGCATTGCGTTATGTATACTACGATTTTCACACCGGTTCTCCGAAATCAGAGATCTGTTTTCCATGTAGTCTGTGTTAATAGTAATAGCGTAAGGTGGCTCGACTGGATTTTTTTAAGGGGGATACCTCCCAAGTTTGAGCCTTAACTACGTCGGCATGAGAAAAGATATAGAAAAAAAGTTACCACAACGGTATTACATAAAGATGAAAATTTCTTATGATCTGGGTTTATTGCAATCGGAGTCGCCATGGCAACGTAATGAAGCCATTACGTTTTTCATTTATCGTTGAGTTTCTCTGTACGAAGAGTTTTTTGAAGAAATCGCTTAAGGGAGTATGTACCTGTCATAATTGCCTCCATTATGGCAAAGTTTGAAGAAATTCTATGAGAGCGTTTTCGAGATATTTCGAAATGCAGTTTTAAGAATCATCAAAGCAGTGAAATAGCATGCTAGCCGCTCAATTCGCTAATATTTTAAGAAAATGATAAGCTTTGGGAACACGGCTTCATCTTGTAGTGGATTGATTCCATTGAAAACGGCATACAAAAAAGAGGGGAATTGCTCTGGGCGATCGCAAGTAAGAAGGATTTTATTAACTTGCATTCAGCTGCTTTTGATACAGTTTTTGGAGCTAATTTGGTCCATTCCTAAAAATTTCGCATTTTTCCAAAAACTGCTCGATAAATTTTTTTATAAATTCGACAATTCCGAGATCAATCGTCAAAAAATATTCCCTGCAAGTTTTAAGGACATTGAAAACTGGGAAGGCTTTTAAATAGGGCCTCAAATATAGCCAATTTTCCCCCCAGATTTTGTGTTTACAAGCGAGCATCCTCATTATTCACTGGCATTGTTTTCAAGTTTCATATACACGTGCACATTTAGCAAAAAGATAGAATTTGCATCAAAAAGGGCCCTCGGTTAAATCTCTGGGATATGCTAATTACCGGGTAAAGAGGTTAGTGATAAATTATAACATCAGAGCAACTCTGTCTTTGTGAGAGTTTCTGTGATCTTATAACCCGAGTAAGATAATTAAGTATTGCATCCTACACGATGAGCCGTGACGTTCACCGTTTCGGCTCTCACTGCTATCTGTAACGACAAGCCAATTATTAGGATATACCGGATATTTCTTCGGAAAGTAATCGAGAGTTCTTTTTTAATGCAAATTTATATCTTTTGCTAGTTGTGCACGTGCATATGAAACTTGAAAACAATGCCAGTGAATACTGAGGACGCTCACTTGTAAACACAAAATCTGGGGGGAAAATTGGTTATGTTTGAGTCCCTATTTAAAAGCCTTTCCTGTTTTCAATGTTCTTGAAACTTGCAGGGAATATTTCTTGACGATTGATCTCGGAACTGTCGAATTTATAAAAAAATTTATCGAGCAGTTTTTGGAAAAATGCGAAATTTTTAGGCATTGACCAAATTACCTCCAAAAACTGTATCAAAAGCAGCTGAATGCAAGTTAATAAAATTCTTCTTAGTCGCGATCGCCCAGAGCAATTCCCCTCTTTTTTTGTATGCAGTTTTCAGTGGAATCAATCCACTTTGACATGAAGCCGCGTTCCCAAAGCTTATCATTTTCTTAAAATATTAGCGAATTGAGCGGCTAGCATGCTATTTCACTGCTTTGATGATTCTTAAAACTGCATTTCGAAATATCTCGAAAACGCTCTCATAGAATTTCTTCAAACTTTGCCATAATGGAGGCAATTATGGCAGGTACATACTCCCTTAAGCGATTTCTTCAAAAAACTCCTGGTACAGAGAAACACAACGATAAATGAAAAACGTAATGGCGTCATTACGTTGCCATGGCGACTCCGATTGCAATAAAACCCAGATCATAAGAAATTTTCATCTTTATATAATACAGTTGTGGTAACCTTTTTTCCATGTCTTTACTCATGCCGACGTAGTTAATGCTCAAACTAGGGAGGTATCAACCCCAAAAAATCCAGTCGGGCCACCTTAATATTGACTATTTTAAGTTGGTAGTGAATCAAGCCTCCCTTAGTTAATACATATCACAACAATAACCTATTGTAAGGAACAATACCTAGGATATATCTTATCCTAAGAGCTGTACGTGAATCAGGCTCAGGGTTGTCAGTAGATAAGAACAAAATGATGAGGTGTAGTGTGACGTCACAAAAGTTCCATTGTGTGAAATTACGGTATTGGTTGGCGCACTCAGAAAGACCAAGATGAAGAAAGCTTCCTTGCCAAAATCCAGCATGTTAGTGCAAATAGGTGGGGTGATATAAGCACTGTTATGCTAGGATGACTCCAAACCAATCCTTCTAAGATTGGCTTAGATTGTAACGTGTACGATTCAGGCCTGTTTTAAAAGGATTTGTATGGGGTCGTCAGATTATAACGGTGCTTACTTCTCTCACACTAATTTGCACTAACAGACTGATTTTAGCAAGTGATCATACTCGACCTACTTATTTTTCATCTCTTTCTTTATGCGCATGGTAACCAACCCCATTATTACACAAATTTATTTTTTGTGACGTCATCACTTCTCTTCCGTATTAGGCTACGTGCAAACGGGCCCAACAACTCCCAACAATGTTGGGAGTTGTAAGCCAACAATGTTGCGTGCGTTTGCACGGGCTAAAAGTTTGACCGGTTTCAAACTTTGCGCAACAACACGCAACAACATCCAACAACATGCAACAGGGTGTCCAAATGGACGCAACATGTAACATCCAACAATGCTGGGAGTTGTTGGTCAACAATGTTGCGTCCGTTTGCACGCAGCCTTAGGCAAACCCCTATTATCTTGCATGAATATGCATGCATAGCGTACCTTTTTCTGAGGTTTTGACAGCTGCTACTCAGCTGACGCCGGCCTTAACAGAAGCAATATCGTCTCTGCTTTCAAACAACTAGACATTCCTTTTCTTTCTTATTCTTTCGGGTCGTTGATTTTAGCCGGCCTCACGTGTAGAAATTTTCCTGTTAGTTCAACTTATTCCAAACTGTGTTTGTTTCAGTTTCCATTTACACATATGGTCGTTTGTTAAAAAAAAGATGTCTGTAAAGTACTTGGAATAGTTTTTGCTTCCTTGACGGACTCTCAAATACAAACTAATATTATTTTTATGAAATTTATAATATATCCTTTGGTACTTTTATAATATACTTTTATAGTATATCCTTCGCTTCATTTGTTAGATACTTGTAATAATCACAGCAACCATGCTGACATTAAGTTGCGTGTAAATAACGTTCTCTTTGGTCCTTATTACAAGTCTGTTAATGATATCGCAAACGGGCACGTAATTCTTAATAAAAAATTCGATACACAGAAAACGACAAGCGTTCAGCTTGAGTGATGTATTCTTCCTTGCACTGAGTATTTCCACTTTCTCCCTTCCCCGGATGCAAACCTCGGTTCTTTTGGTTGAGGTATAAACGGGATAGAGTGTTCATTCAAAAAAAAAAACCAATGAAGTAAAGCAAAAGCTATTTAACACCTAATCTCTTGCCGCCCGCACCAGATTAAACCCGAGTTCATAACGTTTGATATATATATTTTTTTGTTGGTTACTTTTCGTTAATAGCCCTTGCTTTGACTCTGAAGATGACTACCGCACAGGTTGTCGAAACGTCAGTCACTGTCAACAACAACAGTCCTATTCAGGACTACGTTCACCCGGACGATCAAACTCAACCTTATGAATAGCCCTTGTGTTATAAATGATTGTGCCGTACCGTTGTCCCTTAATCTCGAACACGTTTTACTGTTAAAATGTTAAAACCTCTTCACTTTTACACCTCCACTGCTGCCATTCAGTGGTATTTCCGTTGTCTTATTTGATGGCGCTTACATTAACATTTTGATGGTT